GTGGCTGGCACCTTAGCCGCTTGAGCTACAGGCGCCGAGCCGGCCCATGTATTTCTTATATATGACTGGAAACTCATTCACCCTTAGATTGATAATGTTAGCTCATAGTATAAAATTCTACTCTAACTAGATTCATTAATTTACCCTCTTTTCCCCCTTTTTAGTGTACCTCCAGTGAACTCATGTCTTCTGTTTAGAGCACTCTTTTGTAAGGGCTTGAAACACAGGTTGACAATATTTTTCTGTAAAAGGCCAGATAGTAAATATTTTAGGCTTTGTAGGCTTTACAGTCTTCGCTGTTGAAGTACAAAAGTAGCTATTGACACACAGACAAAGGAACATGGTTGTGTTCCAATAAAGATTTATTTATGGGCTCAGTGCCCATAGCCCAGTGGTTAGGGCACTAGCCCACTGGCCACATACACCGAGGCTGGCGGGTTTGAACCCAGCCCGGGCCTGCTAAACAATAATGACAACTACAACAAAAAAAATAGCCAGGCGTTGTGGCGGGCACCTATAGTCCCAACTACTTTGGGAGGCTGAGGCAAGAGGATTGCCTAAGCCCAGGAGTTTGAGGTTGATGTGAGCCCTGATGCCAGGGCACTCTACCAAGGATGACATAGTGAAAACTCTGTGTCAAAAAAGAAAAAAAAAGATTTATTTATGGACACTGAAAGTTAAATTTCATATAATTTTTACATATCACCAAATATTATTCTATTCATTCCCCCCCTACTGTTTAAAAATGTAAAAATCATTCTTATCCCATGGGTCATATAAAAACAGGTGACAGGCTGGATTTGACCTATTGGCTGTAGGTTGGTGTGCTCCTGGCTTAAAAGATTTTTTTCCCTCCAGGTCAACTTTGAATCAGATTATTCTCCCAAATGCATTGACTGGGAATCAGTTATGAAGTGGGTTGACTAGCTCCTTTGAGTCTATTTTTGGCCACGCCGTATTTTAAATATAGATTATTTGCATCATCTGTGTGGCTTGTACATGGCATATTAGTCTCTTTGGTGAGAGACTGGTCTAGGCAACCTTTAGCATCCTTTATCACCCTGATTCTCTTGGAAAAAAAAAAACAAAAAACAAAAACTCAATTCTTTTAGATATCCTGCCCTCCTTAGCTTCGGCAGCAGTGTGCCTCCCAGAGTCTTTTCTTGTGACCTCTTCTTTTCATTCCTCTTCCCAGGCTCATGACATAAAGGTCGTCCTATGGGCTCTGTCCTTAGCCCACTTCTTTCCTCCCTCTCTCCACTCTCCCTGGAGAGTTTCATCGGACCATGTCTTTATCTACTACCTCTACCTTGGTGACTAACAAATGTGTATTATTTAGCTCTAACCTTTCTTCCAAGGCTTAAAGCCTGTCAAGGTTTTCCATTACCTAGAAGTTAAAATCTAAGCTCCTTAGCCTGGCCCTAGGCTCCTCTTGGTCTGCACTCCTGTGTACCACCAGGCAGTCGGGACCAGCCACTGGGGAGCTTCCAGCAGGTCATCTGCTCATCCTTGTTTTTGCTCATGCTTTTCCCTCTGCTATCTCAACCCTCTCTCCTGCTATCTCACCCCCCTCCCCTCTAATCTCAGCAAACACCCAAATGTCCTGCCCTTTGATGAACCCACTCAGAGGGCTGCTTACCTGAGGAGATTCCCCATGCAGTGCCCCCGTGAAGCCCTGTTTCACAGACAAGGTTAAACATTTCCTACTTGTGCTCCCAGTGCTGTGTGCACTTCTCTGCTTGAAGGCTTGACTTGCTGTGACAACTATTAGGTCAAAAATAACTGAATACCGGTTCAACACCAAATGTACTTACAGGTTGGTGTCTTCACCAAACTGAACTCCTGAAGGCAGAGTTTGGTTTTTATCATCCCAGAGCCTGACATATAGATGATGCTTAAGAAATGAATGAGTTAGGAAATGAATGAATTGCCGAGACTAGAGTCACATCTTGACACAACTCTTGTCCCGGTGTGCTAGAGTCCTTGAAGAGAATCTGCTGGTCTTGATTCACTGGCAGGGGCAATCAGTGCCCCCGTTAGTGCCCAGATCAGTAACATTCCCTCCCTGGATTTTAGAAAGTGGGTTGGCAGGCGGTGCCTGTGACTCAGTGGGTAGGGCGCCGGTCCCGTATACTGAGGGTGGCTGTTCAAACCCGGCCCCGGCCAAACTGCAACAAAAAAATAGCCGGGCATTGTGGCAGGTGCCTGTAATCCCAGCTACTTGGGAGGCTGAGGCAAGAGAATCGCCTAAGCCCAGGAGTTGGAGGTTGCTGTGAACTGTGACACCATGGCACTCTACCCAGGGTGACAAAGTGAGGCTCTGTCTCAAAAAAAAAAAAGAAAAAAGAAAGTGGGTTGGCAAGCATCTTTTCTCATATGCATGGGAGTTGGTACTTGCTGTAGAGTATTGTAAATTATTTTCTTTTTCCTTCTAAAAAAAAAGAAAAGAAAAGAAAAGAAAAGAAATGAACGAATCCGTGAGTACATCCTCATGTCGGCTGCACTGAGTTTGATACAGATTAAGGTAGATTGACTTTAATAGGCAAAGTTGAATCTTTTTATCTTTTATGTCCTTAAATACGTTTCTCTTCTTCTCTCGTAGAAGGAAAATTTTTCCAAGGATGGTCTCCCACTCAGAGCTGAGGAAAATTTTCTGCTCAGCAGATGCAGTATGTTTTGATGTCGATAGCACGGTTATCAGAGAAGAAGGGATTGATGAACTGGCCAGAATCTGTGGAGTTGAGGATGCTGTGTCGGAAATGTAGGCACAATACTGATTTACTTTATGAAGTTATAAAGAATTTCTAAGGAGTTACTGTTCTGTTAGACCAGAGCCACAATTCCTGGTTTTAGTCCCTGGCTATGAATCATGGGTAGGAAGCTTTTTCTTCCATCATTTAGAGCTGAATTTGGTAGCGTACGTTTCCCATTCATCCACTTATATAAATATTTATGGCAAGCAAATATGGATAAGAGCCACATATGGCTCTATGTTGGGAAATGATGACCATAATTAACCTGAGAAGATGGCCTTGGGGGCCTCTAAGTGTCTGGCACTTAGTGTCGTGGTTGAGGGTGTGGTTTACTGCAAAGCTGGCTCTGGTTGAGTCTCCCAGTGTCTCCCAGTCTCCTTCCTGCCCTCCTGCTCTGCATCTGTGGCACCTCCCTCTGCAGCCCTGGTCATTGGGTCATGGACCTTTTCATTTTCAGCTACATTTGATGCAAGCATTTCAGCCTTTGGATTCTTTCTTGGTTTACAAAAGCTCATAGCTTTCAAGAAATGTACCCGTGAATAGGATGTGTGGTTGATTTTCTCAGAGCACTGGATCACTGGATGGTGTATTTGTGGCTACAAGGCATATGACCCCCAAATAGTTATGTGATTCTCTAGCAAACTTTCAAAAGTTTATTCATAGACTTTGTTTTTGTTTTTTTGTTGTTGTTTTTTTTTGAGATTGAGTCTCAAGCTGTCACCCTGGGTGGAGTGCTATGACATCACTGCTCACAGCAACCTCAAACTCTTGGGCTTAAGGAATCCTCTTGCCTCAGCCTCCCATGTAGCTGGGACTACAGGTGCCCGCCACAACGCTTGGCTATTTTTTAGTTGTAGTTGTCATTGTTGTTTGGCAGGCCTGGGCTGGATTTGAACCCGCCAGCTCTGGTGTATGTGGCTGGTGTCTCAGCCACTTGAGCTACAGGCGCCAAGCCTATTCACAGACTTTGACATAGCATGTCTGTTGTACAGTGGGGCTCTTGGCAGCACCTTCCTAATGGTAGGTAGAGACCTGGGGCAGGACGGCATGTAAACTTTGAGCACAGCTGACATGGCTGGCCTGACTGTTGGGCCTTTCTTCTAGGACTCGGCAAGCCATGGGTGGGACAGTGCCTTTCAAAGCTGCTCTCGCTGAGCGCTTAGCACTGATCCAGCCCTCCAGGGAACAGGTGCAAAAGCTCATAGCAGAGGACCCCCCACACCTGACCCCTGGCATAAGGTAAGAGAAGCCCCGGTTCTGGGTACACTGTCTCCCTGTCAGCACCAGTGTCTGGGGGCACATCCCCCTGAGAGTATCCAGCTGTCACTTCTCCTCTCTGTTTGGCACTGCCATGTGGTCTTTCTGGCAGGTTGTTAGGTCCTGCCCGTGTCTGCCCTTCCTCTCTCCCCAGGGGGAGCCCAAGCTTTCCTTGTGTTTTTGGGTCCTTACGGAGAATGGAGTTGTGAAATAATTTCTAGAGCAGTCACACCCTCCCCCAAAATTAATTTTGTAACTGCATTTAGAAATTAATTCTGGGCTCGGCGCCTATGGCTCAACCGGCTAAGGTGCCAGCTGCGTACACCTAAAGTGGCAGGTTCGAATCCCCAGCCCGGACCCGCCAAAACAACAATGACGGCTGCAACCAAAAAATGGCCGGGCGTTGTGGCGGGCGCCTGTGGTCCCAGCTACTTGGGAGGCGGAGGCAGGAGACTCGTTGGAGCCCAGGAGTTGGAGGTTGCTGTGAGCTGTAATACCACAGCACTCTACCCAGGGGGGCAGCTTGAGGCTCTGTCTCAAAAAAAAAAAAAAAAAAAAGAAATTAATTCTGTAAGTGGATTTGGAAAAACATCTCTAAAACATTAATTCCCCAGACAGTATACCTTGTCAGATATATCTCAAGCAGATGCAGTCAGAAGAAAAAAACGTATTTCAGTTTCCTATTAAAGTTTTGTTGTTTTCTCATTTATAATCAGTGTTTGGCATTTTATATTTTATTTTTGCAGGGAGCTGGTGAGTCGCCTGCAAGAGCGAAACGTTCAGGTTTTCCTGATATCTGGTGGCTTTAGGAGTATTGTAGAGTACGTTGCTTCAAAGCTCAATATCCCGGCCACCAATATATTTGCCAATAGGCTGAAATTCTACTTTAATGGTAAGACTTTCATGGTAAGCTGTTTCCTTTCTCATCAGTTCTGTTATTCAGTCTCCTAGGTAATGTCTGTCAGAAGGCAACTTAAGCAGGTGGCATCAGGGTTAAATATTGAAATGAATGATTTTCTTGACTGAGGTCTTTTGCTCTTTGGTATCCTTGCTCTGCAAAATAGACTTAGGTCGTTATCTGTTCCAGCTTTTGTATCCATAGAATCACCTATGTGTATGTAAATGTCTGCCTTTAGTAAAATGTTGATTCCTATGTATTCCACATGGCTTATTTTGTTGTGTTACATTTCAGTTTCATGAGCGCTGTTAATGCATTTGAAGCGGTTTTAGACTCAGGAAGGAGAGTTTTGTTAATGGATTAGTGCACTACATCTGCCCTTGGGAAAACCTCCTGGCCCCTCCCTTAACTGTAGCAAAGTCACAACTGTAGTTTTATGTCATTTCAAGAGATCTCCATTTATGTCACGGGTGGCTGATATTCTTAAAACCAAATAATATTAAAAATTTTTATTTTTTTATTTTTATTTTTTTTGAGGCAGAGTCTTAAGCTATTGCCCTGGGTAGAGTGCCATGGCATCACAGCTCACAGCAACTTCAAACTCTTGGGCTTAAGCGATCCTCTTGCCTCAGCCTCCCAGGTAGCTGGGACTACAGGCGCCCATCATAACGCCCAGCTATTTTTTGGTTATAGTTGTCATTGTTGTTTGGTGGGCCCAGGCTGGATTCGAACCCACCAGCTCCTGTGTATGTGACTGGCGCCATAGCTTTTTGAGCTACAGGCACTGAGCCAATATTAAAAAATTTTAAACACGGCTCAGCGCCTATAGCTCAACCGGCTAAGGCGCCAGCCACGTACACCTAAGGTGGCGGGTTCGA